ATGGAGTCTTTAGGCGTCCCATTCGTCGTCCTCCTGCAGAACCGGCTCAGGAACGATGTACTCTTGATCTGAAATGATTAAATAAGGAATGAGCTACACTAGCCCAGTAAAGACATCACGATATCTCACCGTCACGGAGGTAAAGGTGGGTAGAAAACACAAAAAGACCAATGGAGCATAATTTACAACAAATTCTTTTATCAATAATAAATCCTTCACTATCCACTTATCTCGATGGAATCCATAAAACAGTATACGAAAGCAATAACATTATCATCATCATAAAATCATATATGAACTGTATAACATAATACTTATCAAGTCTTTTGTAATTCAATCGTTACACAACATATTTTTCCTCTTTTACCAGCCCACTAGTATCCATGGGGATCCATAGGGGTCCCGCTACCCGTTAACCCTTAACACTTAAAATCATATTCCAGGGCCGTCCCCATACCCCGTCCAGTATGGGCGCCAAAAGTATAAACCTCATTACCCCGTCCGGTATGAGGGTGAAACGGGCCGTCCCCATACCTCGTCCGGTATGGGCGCCAAAACACATAAGATCTCCATACCCCGTCCGGTATGGGAGACCACAATCCCGATAGGGTTCCCTACGGACCCGGTCCGTCCACCATCTCCCAGGATATCTAGTCAGGCTGACCACATTATACAATTACCCATTTACATAATCTATCATTCTCTTTTCCCTTAGTCAGCATCATCAATCTACATACAAACAAGCAAAACAGTAATTTATGCCAAACAGACAAACATACAGCATCAATATCCCAGTCATTCAATCCATAATTGGTAAAACAGTAAAATATGTACACGAAACTATAAATGAAAACATCAAACCTCATACTGTTTTTAAACTGTAAAACATGGCAAATAACAATTAACGGACAACCACACTAGACTCGGGCTCCATTAGCGATCTTAAGCAATTTCACACATTTGTTGATTCATGAAATACCGTTTTATCATTTATTGAACTTTAATACCGTGATAGGAAATAGGGTGAGGGGTCCTTACTCGTTTCGGGGTCCGAACACGGCTTCACAGTGCGCCTACAGGC